TATAGATACGCTTTCAATTTTCTCAGGGCGTCGACGCATTCTTCATTCCATTGCAGTCCGTGGTCTTTCCTTAGCATGTTAAAGAATTTGTGACATCTATCGGAGGATCGTGAAATGAACCTCGACAGGGCGGCTATTCGTCCTGTTAATTTATGCACCTGCTTTTTGCTGGTCAGTATCTCCGGTATTGCATCGATGGCCCCCTGATCTGATCTAGGTTGACCTCGATACCCCTCTGTGACACTAGGAAACCAAGGAACTTTCTTGAAGTTACGCCGAAGGTGCATTTTTCAGGATTCAGTTTCATCCCGTATTGCCTTAATATCTCGAAAGCTTCCTTCAGATGGCCAATGTGATCCTCTTTCTTTGTCGACTTTACTAGCATGTCGTCGATGTAAACCTCCATGGTCTTACCGAGTTGTTTTTTGAACATCTTGGTGACTAATCTTTGATACGTGGCCCCTGCATTCTTGAGTCCGAACGACATTACCTTATAGCAGTACATTCCTCGTGATGAAAGTTGTCTTTTCTTGATCTTCTTCAGCCATTAGAATTTGGTTATAACCGGAGTAGGCGTCCAAGAAGCTCAGCAGTTCGTGCTCTGCTGTTGCGTCGATAAGCTGGTCGATGTGTGGTAACGGAAAGGGGTCCTTCGGGCATGCTTTGTTCAGGTCGGTAAAGTCGACACACATCCGCCATTTCTTGTTCTTCTTTTTGACCATGACCACATTGGCGACCCATTGGGGGTATTTTGACCCTCTGATGGAACCGGTAGTGAGTAATTTATCAACCTCCTCGTTGACCGCTTCATTGATGGCGGCATTGAACTTTCTCCTCATTTGCGGTACTGGCGGGTAAAGTGGATCAACATTCAACCTGTGTGTGGCGATATCCCTTGGGATTCCTGGCATATCTGAGTGGGAAAAGGCAAACAAATCGGCGCTGTTAGTTAAAAACTCACGGTATTTACCTGGTTCAGGGAGGTTGTGTCCGACATAAGCCTTTTTCGTGCTATCGGCGTTGTCCAGTTGGACGGGATCATGATCTTCTACGGTTGCTTTGCAAGCCTCCACGACGTTCGGGTCTTTGATGGCCTTTACTTGTATGTCGGGTTTGGTTCCCGACATGGCTGATTGCTATGCCTCCGCACTTGCCCCTTTTAATTGTTTGGTGTGTGTGCAATCTTGGGCGATCCGGTAGCATTCTTGGGTGGTGCGTGGCTCGCCTCGAATGCTGAATATCCCCCATAGGGTGGGAAATTTGATTACTTGGTAGAGGCTTGACGGGACGGCTCGCATGGCGTGTATCCATGGGCGTCCTATAATGGCATTGTAGGTTTTTTCCTGATTCATAATGTGGAATGTTGTTTCCAGGGTGACTCCTCCTGCTAGGACAGGTAGCACTATTTCCCCAGATGTTCGCTCCACTACATTATTAAAACCCGTTAGTGTTATGCAACGCAGTATTATTTTATCCTCGAGCCTCATCTGTATGAGAACTCGTGGGTGGACAATACACGCGCCGCTTCCGTCATCCACTATTATTCTTTTTTACATCGGTATCCACAATGCATAAAGTTATAACCAAAGCATCATAGTGAGGGAAAAACAAACCATCGGTATCCGACTTATCGAAGGTGATACTATCTTCGAGGTCGTCATACCGTTCGTGGGCAACCATCCGTTTGAGTTTATATGTGGTGGTGAATTTCACATGGTTGATTATCGTGTCGTCGTCGCCGCCAATGATCATTTGTATGGTACGAGTTGGTGAGGGTGGTTTTGGAGGTCATTGAGGTTGATCGCGCCCACTAGCAAAGTTGGCCCGTCCTCGATCGCTCAGCAGTTCTTTCAAGTATCCCTGGTTTAACATTCTTACCACTTCTTGTCGCAGACCTATGCAGTCTTCAGTCTTGTGTCCTCTTTCCTGGTGGAATTCACACAAAACGCTCGACCTCCTGATGTTCGGATCCTACTTCATCTTTTGCGGCCATTGCACCTTCGTGTCGAGCTTTTCCAGTGCGTACACTATTTCTAAAGGAGAAACACAAAAGTTATGAGCAAATAACAGTGGAGGCATACCTCTTTCGTTTCAGGGTGGTGCGAAGTGTTGAGGCACGACATCTGTATATCATGGAGAAGGTGGGTTGGATGTTCAGATATAAGGCTGGTGCCTTTCTCGATTGAAACGTGGTAGTTGATCCCTTCGACCGTCATTGCGACGATCTCTCCTTGCCTCGGTCTGGACTGATGATAATCGCTGGAGCGGGCCATTCAGGTCATCCTCGTCTGCCCTTACTTCGGCGCAATAGGCATTGTGGATTTCTTCCCACGTGGTAGGGGGTACTTCATGAGTCTACTAGTAGCTTTTTGGTTGCTTTTGACCCATTTTTGTTTAGCCCATTTTGAAAGGCTACTACCGTCATCCCTTCTGACACGTTCGGTAGGCTCATCCTTACCCTGTTGAATCGGACTAGAAAATCCCTCAGTCCCTCGCCCGTCGTTTGCTTGACGGCAAAGATATCATTGTCCCTGGCCTCTGCCTTCTTCGCTCCCGCGTGAGCGGTGACGAACTTATCTGTCATCTCTTCGAACGTTGATATCGATCGCGCTAGTAGTTGGGAATACCATGTCAACGCTCCCCTTGTCAGAGTTTCGCCAAACTTTTTCAGCAGTACAGATGGCACCTGTTCTTTTGATAGATCGTTACATTTTACTGCGGTAACGTAATGGATTAAGTGATCCTCCGGGTCCATGGTGCCATCATATATTTTCAAATATGGCGGCATTTTGAAGGTCTTCGGAATAGAATGGGGAGCTGCCCCTTCGTTATATGGTTGTTCGATGAATCGGCCCACATCTCATTTTGGTAACAACTTCGGAGCGCTTGGTATTTTATCAACCCTTTTCCTGATGTTCTTTCATCTAGTTGCGGAGTGTTTTGTTCTCATTTTTCATCTCTTCCATTTTCTTTAAAATGGCCGTAAGGGCATCGTTGCCTGCATCAACAATAGTACGGGTGTTGTCTGTTTGTGTAATGTCTGGCTCATCGGCAACAACTATGGTTTCTACGGATAATATGTCTTCGATATCTCTCTGTGCGGGTTTCTCGAGCATGCTGCTCAAGGTATTTGTCAACCATTATTCTAGTAACCTTTTCACGGCCNTCCCTTTCCTGCCATTGTTTGTCTTTGTGAAGCTAAAGAGAGGTGATTATTTCTTTCAAGGATCTAGATGAAAACTATGATTTCAGCTATAGAAATTCCCACAGACAGCGCCAAATTATTTGACACAAAAGATATAAGAATCAATTTGGACAAATCAATCAAAGGAAATGGAGGAATAAATCTTAGTTGAGTCTAATAATCTCTAGAATGAAAGATAGTTAAAGAAAATATCGACGATAAGAATTCTTCAATCGTTTTTGTGAGTAAGTTTACAACCAGTATATTAAATTCCAATCCCCGACACAAGACTTTCGTTTGCTATATATATAAAGAATGAATCCCTACTAAGCTATAAAAGACAGATTATAAGGAATATTCCAAGTATCCACTAATGGGTCCGTATTATTACAAGGGTCGTACAATCTCATGCTTGTCTAGAGGTCGTCCTCCGCTGGACGTCAAGTTACGAGGACCTTGCCGTTCGTCGTACTCATCGACGATCATAGTCGTTCAAATTTGGATCCATACAAGTCTTGCATTGGATGTACGCAACAACTATGAAATGATGTGTGGAATGATGGATTGAATACGCTAAACCATTAACGAATAAATTCTTGAAACAAAAGTAATTCCAATATTTTATGAAAGACTACAGCCCCTTTTTTGTCCATAAATTTCTTTTCCTTTTTTTTTTAAATTTTTTTTTCAATAATGTGTTTGTTTATGAAATTTTACAAGTTTTTGAAAAAATTTCGAAAATGAGTTTTTCAAAATTTCAAAATTTTCTACTCATAAAATTGCAATTTTTTTTCCAAGTAAAATGCATTGTCCAAACAGAATTTCAAATTTCAAATACCATTTTTTAATTTAACTTTAAATATTATTAATATTATTTTTCAAAAATTACAATTTTATATATCCGAACCCTACTAATTCGCTATATCATTCAATTAATTGTTTTTCTTCCTTTCTGGCATATCCATACTCCTATACTACAAGTGAATGTTGAAGTCGTTAGCTGATAATTAGTGTTGGCATTATAGAAACGACCCTTAATCTTCACCGATATATTTCATTTCGCTTTTATTTTGCTGTTGAAGACAGTGTTAGATGATAGAGTAGCCATTACAGGAAATCATTAGAATTTTACAAATATTAGTCATTAATTCATAATTTCAAAAGCAAAATAAAATTCAGCTGTAAGAATTTAAAAATTGAACTTCACTAAATTAAAATTTTAGATCAACCGTTGGATGGTTGGACGATGTTACAAATATTTTAATATTAGCATGCAATATTTTAAACTTTAAAGGCTTCATCAAAATTCCGTTGTTCAAATGACCAGGTTTGGTTATTCGGTAATAATTAGTAATGAAATATATAAAGCTTGGTAGGTTTTAGTAGTTAATTTAAAATTGTGGGTATACATTATATTTCATGTTTTTGAAGAATTACCTTCGACCATCAACTTTATTCCAAGTATTTTATTAATAAGTATAATCCAAATATAATTTCATTTCAAATCAAAATTTCATAGAAATCATGATCCAGAAACAATTGTCATTTCCAAGTTACTTTTAACTTTCCAACTTGAAATAGGAGTTATTTCTACCTTATCAAACAAATAAAAAAAAAAAAAAAAA